TAGGGGTGCAAATCTGTCTCTATTTCACATTGAGAAAAGGAAAGAAAGAAGCAGTAAATGCTTTTGGTCAAAGTTTTCCTCTGCATTTTGTGCAAAGTATTTTGTAAATTCTGAAAAGGCATTAATAAGCTAGGGTTCCCCTCTTTGGCCCCGAATGCAATCACAGCAATGCAGGCACACCAGATGCATGCATTCTCTGTTGCTTTTTAGGGGTAAAGCAATCACAGGAAAGAAGGGGTGAAGGCAACCCCTCCCCTTTGTGCACCTTCCTCCCCCCCAGAAAAACAGCAAACAACGTACAAAAAAAGACAACGTAAAAGCGGAAGCCTTTTGTGAAAGCTTCTGATCCCAAAATAACTACTGATGGAAAGGAATTCCTACAGGCAGTCTGACTTAACCCATCAGGTGTGCAGGACTGTGGGCAACCAGCAAATTAGGATCCTTGGGAGAAATCGCGTAGTCACAGCTGCTCAAGGGAACTCTCCTTTCTAAGCAGCATTTTCTATGGCCTGGGTTTATCATTTGTATCTTTGAGAAAACTCACGGACAAAGATCAGTTGGTTGAGATAAATAACGTTCCATTTAAAAGAACAACATCTTTCTAGTGGAACTAATTGTTCCTTTTAGATGCACAAAACATACTACAAATAAGGCACTTCTTGGCTCCTGGGAGCAATTCTTAATTGGCAACGTGCACACAAAATTCAAATTTTGCTCTTGGAGCAAAACGACAACAAAAAAACTCAGCACTTTCGAATTGCGAGCAAGGTGACTTTGGACTCTTCCCACTGCCTCACCCAGCCATGGGGCTGGCAGCAAGAGGGACAGAGAGTGGGCAGGGAGGTGGGATCCATGGCAGGGTGAGGACTGACCTGCTGTGGTTTTGCACAGGAAGAACACAGTCTCCTTCAAACGCCAGCTTTTACTGACAAGAAAAGCAGCCAATGGAGTCACCATCTAAGAAGGTATTTTTCAGAAGTTTCTACAGCTCTCAGGCGCTTACTTGGCAATATCACAGTTTTGGATGTGGCCCAGGTTGGTAGCCCACCACAGTCTGTCCGTGGTTATACAGCTCTGTGTGTTGGCAGCCTAGGAAGCCAAGCTGCCTGCTGGCTTTTTTTTCCTGACGTGGCAAGATGAAAAAAGCTGCCTATGCTCAAAGGAGCAGGAGTACGTTGGGTCATTTCTAGTCTATTTGCAGAGAAAACAAAGCATAACGATTCAAAACAGTCTGGTCAGGGAGGATGGGAACCCTGCACCTGTGAGACTTTGCCTTAGTGACCCCTGTCCCCATGTGATCCAAGACCAAGCTGTGGTTTAGGTCTATTTGCACACTTGGTTTTTGAGTTGTTTTTCAGTTGTAGCCAACGTTGAGAAAGCAGAGCAGAGACAAAGCACTCAGAAGCTTGCAGTTAGCCAAGATAAAAAAGCCCATGAGATTAACCTGGTACGCTGGTTCTGTCATGCGCACGATGGAGAGAACTTGCTGAAAAGTTGAAGCCAGGTCTGTCATGCAAAATAAATACGTGGCAGGATTCCTGGAAAAACAGGGAGTCTGCGATGGACTCATCTGCTCGGGAAGGCCCACATGGCTGCACAGCTCTCTATCCATGAACCAAGAAGCTGGGCCTTGGAAATCCAGTGAGACGTCGCTCTCTACCAAGGCCCAACTCCCAGATGACAGAGTTCCCCACTGCCACAGCTTACATCTCAGTACTAGTGATGTTGTCAGGATTTAAGTTTGTGTATAAAAATCTTTTATTCACCTCTGGTAGATAAATTCAGCTTCATTTTAAACAAGAAAACTCTGTTTCATAAAGGTCACAGTTCTGGTCACACCTACCAATTGCCTTTTGAAACTGATGGAAAAAGTATCTTTGCAGGTTACTATTTAATTCTTCTTCAAGTTTGCCAGACTGCGTGGTGGTGGTGGTTTTTTTTTTTATAAATCACTGTGGGTTTGTGCGTCAACAGTTCTGGGCAATCAGCTATGTCTTGTTGACGTTGTTGATAGGTTTTCTGACTTGGCTGCTTGGCTGTGTTCTGCAATAACTTGATCAGACTTGCATCAAGTCAGAAACAACATGGAAAGTTTAGAAGAACGAAAGCTGGAAATTGATTTCCAGAACTATATGGTTATTTTCTAAGCCTGGTCTCTTCTGAGCAGCATACAAAACTTCTTGGTAAGATTTCTGGAGACAATTCTGTATCATTTTCAAAGGTTATTAGTAGGCTCTTGCTGTTTTTCAGTAAACTACCAAAATAAAAAAACAGCACTGGGAGATGTGATTCATCAGCGGGAATGGTTCACCTTAGAATGGTTGAAGTGACTACTGTTTCCTCTATGCTTCTTGGTCCTGTTGCAGAGACAGCTCAGCTGAAGTACCTGTGAACTGCTGTAACCTGGCTGATTAAGAAAATCCTGCATGGATTTTGGCTCTTCAGTACTTCAGGCCATACTTAAGACAGTCTGGATGCTCCTCCACAATCAGCCAAGCTGTCTACGACAGGTATGGAAACTCCTGAGAGGATGAGCAACCTCGCTCTGCAGTTAACCCTGTACCAGCTTCTTTAAAGCCAGGTAACATCTTGCTGTGCTACATTCCTCTCTGCAGTACCCTGAAACTCAAAAGGGTTGTTAAGCACGTAAAGATCCCTGCAAACCGGATATCAGATGCAACAAACAGCGTGGCGCACTTCAGCTACCAGTTATTTCATAAAAAGGGCGCTGGGCTCCTAAACTCTTTGGACACTTTTAGAAAATAGCCCCACAGCTTTTCCCTCTCCTCAGTCTCCTCTGCACCCTCTTGCTTAGGCTGGGCTCTCAGAAGAGCTGGCTGTGGGTCAGGGCAGGCCTTTCTCCAACCACCTGCTTCTGGCATCCCCTGTCATAGTACATAAGCATCTAGCTGCTGGCAAGAGCACTGTGCACCTGCTTTCCTCCTTTTTCTCAGTGACAGTCCTCACTCCCTCAAGCAAGTTAGGCCTGATGGTACTGCAGTGGTATAATATTGCAGCTATCTCCCAGGTGAGTTGTTGGAGGCAGGTCGTGAAGTATTGATACGATTAACATCATCTGCATTTGAACTCCAGGAAACTTGGCTTGGTGTGTGCTGGGCAGGCTGGTCTTCACCACTTTGCAGGTGGTCTTCTCTTTGCAAAGACCAAAATATTTCTGAAGGCTACAGTTAGTCTCACCTGTGTGCTAGACAAGATGTACAGAGCTCACAAAACAGCACTCTGCTATGGGTAATGGGGTTCTCCATCATCTTGATTTCATCTAAAACATAAGTCAAAAGTAGATGTGCTTGGAAAAAGAAACGGAATAAAATAAAATCCAGATCACAAACGTCAGGAACGTCAAAAAATTTAAGCCAGCCTTTCGCTGATCAAAACCATCCCATGCCCTGCAAGCCTCCTCCCAGCCAGTTCAGCCTCACCCAAGACGACATTTCCTCCAGCCATTAATATTCAGTCGTCATCAATGAGGGCCTGGCCAGAGGCCCAGTAAAGGCCACAGCCTCCTTGAGGTCACAAGGTTGCCCGCGGCGGGGCGGATCAGAGGGTCTCACTGCAGATGACGCATGGGCTGGTTTCCTCACAGAGTTCCAGCTGCACGCTGGAAGAAAACCAGCGCTTGGCACAGCCCAAGCTGTAGTTGAGGGTGGTCCGGTAAATGTTCTTGGCACGCTTAGGAAAAATGATGGTCGTGCTCTGAAACCTCAGTGGCTTCTGGCGGGGCTCAAAGATCAGCTGGGACTTGTAGTTCCGCCAGGTGCAATTGGGCGCAGCAATGACTGTCTCACTGTAGGTGGTGACGGTGGGGATGGGACCGTAGATGATGTCATCCCTGTAATGCTTCTCAGAGTCGTACTTCACCTCAGAATTACACCTAGAGAGGACAACGAGGTATCAGAAACAGCCCAGGCAGCAAAGGAAAGAAGATAAACAGAATTCTTCTCAACTCTTTGGAGCTGGGAACATCTGTGCTCTCTTAGTGCACAGACATTAGAACAGATGTAAACCCTACAACCCAAAGCAGAGGGCCAAGAGGACTCCTTCCTGCTGGGTGCATCTTGGCGGAATCCCACCTTGTGAAGCCACCTCAGCATTTCTGCAGTCAATTTAGCCAGCCTGTTTGTGCCAGGACAGAAAGGACCTTGCTGCGCTGGCTCCAAGCAACCTGCTTCTTCCTCTATCTTCTTCTTTGTAATTTATACTGAGCCATCAGAGCACAAAGGTAGCTAAAATCAGCTTTATGCTGGGAGATGAGTGAAGCTGCTCATTGGGGCCTACAAAAAATACAAGCAAGGGCCACGCTGGTAAAGCAAAGGGATGCTATGGACTATGGCTGGGCACAAAGGAAGTGGTCATGTTAAGAGCTCTTAAATGAAGAACCCACGAAACGCAGGATGTCACTGTGCTGCATCTCCAGAAGGGATGGATGGAAACTGGGCCACGCAGAGTGCTTTCCCTAGAATCTTTGGCCACTATGAGCTGTAGGAGTTTCAGTTGTTTTCCCCACTCCCCAAATGCTCCTCTGGCATTCAGCAGCCAAGGAATGTGCAGCTCCGCGTAAAAAAGGAAAAAAGAAAAAGATTAAAAGCTGGGTGAGCTGGGTGTGTGCTTGTCATTACCTCTACCCGGAGGGGGGTTGACTGATTGTGCACTGTATGTAATCCGAGCTGCTGTAATGTATTTTGCACAGCTAGGGTGTAAGCAAGTCATTCAGCGCACATAAAACAAGACTCCGATGTAATCACATAAAAACATGCCCGCCAGCAGTTCCTCAGCAAGCAGAGATTTACTGGGGTACATTTCCAGAGAGACGTTTGCATTGGTTGAGGGGGGGTGGGAATTGGGTTTAATCCTCCCACCATCCCTGCCCTAAGCTGTGCGTAACTGTGCTCCATGCTGTTTGCAGAGCACATTCCACACTGGCAAAAGAAGAGCAGAACAATGTTTATCTACAGGCCATTGCTTCCAGTTCCACAGGAGGCCAGAATACCTCAATCACTGGCTGGAAGGATCACCTTGTCATGAGGAGGAGATGGTTCTGTATCGGTGAACTCATCTAGTGTTGGACTCTCTGCTGCAAGGGCTATCAAAAACAGGTACCAATTATAATGGTGTAGCTGAGGATACAAGCCAGCAGGGCACAGCGTAGATCAGCAAACATAAAGAAGGTCATAAATTTCTCTCATTGCCTTGGAAATTAGCTGGCCTTGGAAGGAAAGTCTTCTCTTACAACCTCCCCCTCCACCTCTGCTGCTGGCAGTGTCTTTTTAATTCATTCATTACCATCCTACCTGTCTCTCTCCTTTCCTTTCCAAATAACCATGACTCCCATTTGTAATCACATTTAAATTTTTTGGAGAAGAAAAAGCACCAAGAAAAGGACAGACATCCCCACTCCCCCACCCCGATACCATCTGTACCTAATTTCCTGCACAGGCTCAGGGTTGACCTCAATGCTTTCTCCAAAAAACACGGGGTACATTCGAGGTCTTATCTCCGACATGGACGGGTTCAGGAGCAGGTAAGGCATCTGCAGGGAGGAACAGTGCTGTGAGTGATGGGACACACGAGATGAGGCTGGCACAGCTCACAACGTGCCGTGGCTGGGAGCTGAACAGACATCAACAGCATTCACAGAGACAGCAATTCTTACAGCCTTGCTGAACTTGGTCTTTTCACAGTTCCATGGGAGATAATGCAGGTGACAGCTCTTTAGCAATGAGAACAGGTGTCTGCAACAGCATCAGAACCAATTTCACTGCACACAAGCTAAGCTCACCCTGCTGGTGCTCAGCATCATTGAGTTTCCCCTCATCCCTTCCTCTAGGTTTGTAGGAAGGCACTCCACTCCACACAGAAGCTCAAAGGGGAGGGCCACTCTCAAGTTGGAAAAAAACCAACCTGAAGATGGTTGGCAAAGGTGAGCCCTGCATTGACAAGTCTCGTGCAGGCCTTGCATTTAAGTTACCTTGATTCTGACATGCCACCTGTGCTGCCTCTATTTACAGCTTCCTTCCAACTCTCAGGACTGATGTGATGCAGCAGGCTGCCCTCCAGGTCCCCACCTCGCTCCTCCCAGCTCACCACCCCAGGTATGGGACTGCCCAGATCTCTGGCACTCTATGCTGTGGTATCTGGTCTTTGAATGTTAACCCCTCCTTACCTTCTTCCTTTCTTGTTTCTTGTAAGAATTGCAACTTTTTAGCACTTTTCTTTAACAAGTGGTCAGTTCTAACTGACCAACAAAACCAGTGAAACAGCTTCTCTAGCTGCAAGCTCTTACAAAGACTCAAAGCACGAAGGAGGGCTCTGATGTAACACAGAGATATGGCCCAGATCTGCCAATTTAAAGGATGTGGTGTTACTTGAGTAGTGTGTGTATATTCTTTTACATGCACATAAATACGTATGTGCTGCAAATAATGTAACCCTTAGAACAACCCCTTGGTAGGTTAGCAGCTGCTGAAGTCTCATGCCAAGAGCAGCTGGCTTGCTCTGGGGGGTGTTCTAGTTAACCACACACAAGTGAGCATGGGGTGAGATACTGAGGCATCCTGTGGCGTCTGTGATGCAGGAAACAAGCTTCAAGCCAGGACTTTGTAATAAGTAGAGCTTCTTCAAATCATGGATTGTTAAGACTAATTTCAAAAATGAATAATCCTACTTCTCAATAGTGGAGCATCCACTCAGATATCAGTTCTGATATCAGAGATACAGAGATCTGTAGAGATCCTGTGTCTACACCCAGCCCAGAAGCTAATTAAGCCTAATCCTGTGAAAATGTCATTGTGGATTTTGGTCCCTGCCACTTCTCTGACAACAGCACTTCATGACACACAGGGACACAGGGTCTCTTTAAAGGCCATGGCTGTCAGCCATTGGCCAGGCCTGAAAGGTTTCTAGGTGACTTAAAAGCTCACAGTTTTTCCACTTTTCACCATGTACAAGCCATGTCTGCTGGAATCAGGCATTTTTCATCAGTCTCTTGGTCAGTCAGATGATCTCGGGACTCATGGTACCACTGAAGGTAGCTGAGGATACAGAGAAACTGGCTTCTCTTCCCATGTCACTTCCCTCTGCCCTCTCCAGCACCTTCTGGATGGCAGGTACAGGAGCAACACTGAAGCTGTGGCCCAGTCCCTGCTTCCAGTGCTGGGCAAGGTACTTCAACTTGTGCCCTGTCCTGTACCCCATGCAGATCCCCACAGTGTTCCCCAGCTCATCCCTCAGCTGGTGTCAACTGGCAAAACTCCCCTGAGCCTGTTCAATAGCATCAGATCACACTGTCTGAGGTCTGGTTTTCTCTGGTGGCTTGGGTTTTCTGCCTGAGGCTAAAGCAGAAAATGTCATTGCTTCATCTGAATTTTCTCCAAGCTCTTCAATTCTGCATCCCAAAGCCACAAAGCTATTTACTCTTTCCATACTGAAACATCCCTGCACTATACTAGGGTGTTAAACTGCAACATTAAATGGCTCACCCTTCGTTAATACTGTTTCTATTCCACTGTCAAAAAAGAACAGTGACTGAATGGGTGTGGGGAAAAAAAGAAAAGGAGCTTTTTTTGCTAGATTAGCACAAGAGAAATCGCGGTATTACAGAGTTCTGCCAAGTGCTGGACTAAAGAAATAACTTGAAAGAAACAATTCCAGTGCTCCCAGGGAAACAAACCTTCACACCTCTTGCTAACACTGCTGACACTAAGCATGCTCTGAGTGTCCCTGGAGACAAGGGTGCAGGAGGCAATGTCCTTCCTGTGGTTTAATGGGAATACTCCCAGGGCCTGTGGCCCCCAGTTTTGCTGCTCAGTCACAGGGCACAGAGGCCAACGCTGTCCATTGAAATCCCAAGTCCTGCAGCAGGGAACAGGAAACAAGAATATGCTGCAGAAACAAGACCCATCTGCATGGAGGAGATGGGTCATGCATGACTGAAACCAGAGTCCAAAAGTTGCCACTGAGTTTGGTGATAGTTGGATTAACTTCCCTCCAAGTCAGCTCTGAATGGAGTGGCGATGAGACTATTTGCACTGTAGGTTAGCTCACCTAGACCTAGGCAGGGAAGGCTTAAAAAGGGAGTAATTGCACTTCATCCAACTAGCATTAACTTCAGATCTGCAGATGAGGCTTGATTAGTTCAGAAATCTGGGACAGCTGCAGACCAGAGATTTCTACCACCCACCAGAGACCACAGCAAATTCTCACTTATCTGCACAAGCAGTGCCACGAGATGCTGCAGGTGGGAAACCTTGAAAGTCACCCAGAATTCTGCACACGGAAGACTTAAATAATTTAAAAAGCATGCTCTAAAAATAGAGATCATCTGTAAGAGCCTGCAGTCTGCTCACCAAGCAACTGCACTGCTTGCACAGAATTTAAGGGTCACTAAACAGGGAGCACAGATTTTATAGAGCAGCAAGTGAAAGGAGCTTCAGGTGACTTCTTGTTCAGCCTCTGGTGATGTTCTGAAATTCCTGCTCCTGAATCTCACGTGGAGTTTGGAAGCAAGTAACAGGGCACCCAAGCTTTCCAAAAGATTTGTCTTTGGGGCTGAAATGTTACATGCTTGACACGTGCCAAAAGCTGGCTTTTTGGCAACAGTTTGATACCCTCTCCTTCCAATCTATTTTAAGGTAGAAACAAAGCAAAAACTTCCTGCTTGTCCAAAAAAAAACCCTACTCAGTTATTCCTCCTTCTGCACAGGAGTTATTGAAAGAACAGAAACACTGGACTTCTGACCTCCCTAGCAAAAATGATGACCTATGGTTCATTTCTATCAATCACTCAGCAATCTCAAGACACTTCAGAAATAAGGTGAGTTTCCTTCCAGCCCCACACCGCAGATGGGCTGAATTGAGCAGAGTTGGCTGATGATGGAGAGGAAAACCCCATGTCTTTAGAGTAGGCTGCCCAAAGTGATCCACAAGACAAGGTCTATCTATCCAAAGAAACCCTAGTGTTACTTAGCTGGAACTACAGATAGGACCTAATTAATCTGTCTTAAACAGCAAAGAGTTAAAGTAGTATTAAAAAGCTGAAGTGATTTCTCGTTTGGCTGCATTTTTCCCTCTGCCTTTACCTCTGATGCCTTTCAGGCATGTAAAGGCCTGGGCAGCTACGTTCTTTATTCAAGCAGTACATAAATAAATACACCCCCAAAAATAATTTACTGAAGGGAATTCAATCTGCTACTGACCAAGCGTGCTTCTTTTATGCTAACATAAGTACTGTGGGGGACTTCTTGCTTTAGAACTGATGCATGTCCTTCAGTTCCGTGTCAGTGCTTCATACCTGCCAGAAGTGACATATCAGTGCCTGGATCCTGGGGGCATTTAGACCTCAGAGTCCCTAAAGAGCAAAAAGAATACAGTGGGCAGAATAATCTTATTTTACACCTAATAATTAATTTGAGTTAGTGGGTTCTGTTTAAGGTGCTTTTCACTTGGGTGTCTTAAAGGAATAGAAGCAGAGTTACGGTAAATAAAGCGCCATGAAATTGGCCCTGACCGTTCCTGTAGCTTCCAGACTTCAGGCAGCAAAGCAACAAGGAAGGAAGGAAATTAATGTGACTTGAAAAATATAAACTCTCCAAAAAACTGTTCCCCAGAAAGCAAGACAGATCAGAACAGACTGACTTCTTTAGCTATGGTCATTATGTGGAAGGCACTAGGATTTGGCATTAGCTCCCTAGGGACTGTAAGGGGAAACAGTTTTCCAAGCACCAAGGCTATAAACAGGATACAGCTTTCCAAATTCCCAGCTCCTAACTTAGCTAGGGCATAAGCAAATCTCTCACCACGTTTTCCCACTATGGCAACATGTCAGGTCCATGAAAATGTCACTTTACTCAGCTGTTATTTACAGCTGTAATGAAAGATCTAGCTGAATTATTTGACACACATCTACATTCTCCGCTCTAACTGATAAGCAGTATTTGTTTAACAGACCATTTATTTTCCCAGTATCTGCATGTATTGCATATTACAAGTAATTCATACTAGAGCCGGATGAGATTTTATTTGGAAGTGATAACAGTAAATGCAAACCTCAGGTCTAAAGCACGGCTTTATTACTTAAAAGAATTAATCCTTCCTGCCTGTTTCCTCTTCTATTTCAAGTGGGAAATTTACTACTTTGCTTATTGCCAAGTGTTACATACAAATGCAACCGAAATTAAACAGCTAGAAGATACCACCCTAGATACAGCCACGTTTTTTTAGGATTGATGAGGAGACTCCTATGACTTTTTCCCTGCTTGCTTTAATCACAAAGTGCCTGAATCAAGACCACATGCCTGCCCATCCCCGTGACTGTCATAGAAGTGAGCACACTAACTTGTGTGTGCTACACAACCTTTTCTCTGCTGATTCCACTGACAAAAGACTGATGCCTGCTGAAATATTTGCCGAGTCCCATCTCATTTCCACAGCATTCAGAGTCACTTTGCGGCAGAAGGCACTGTGCCAACAGTGCATTTTCAGTGCAGTTACACATATTTGCACACCAGTCCCTGGAGAAAGCCTTCTGCTTGGTGCTAGCAATGCATGCTGCACCCTGCTGACACTCCTTCCTCCATCTGGGAGGACTGAGCCCTTAACCACTGCACAGCAGCAGCTCTGTCAGAACAGACTGGAGCCAGGATCAGGTGGGTCTTAGAGGAACCAGACCTTGACCTGCCTAGAAGGAACATCTGTCACAGCCTGCAGATTAGGTGAGACCCACTGCCACTCCTCTCTTCCCTCTCCTTCGCTGCTGGTGTTGCCCCAAGAAAGAGGGGAAGTGGGAGCACATTCAGAACCAGATGGGCCAAGGTGCAGAGAAAAGCCAGCTGCGGTTACATTCTTCCAGGCTGCAGACATGGTGACCAGCAGGCAAGAACTGAAACCACTGCCAACATCTGCAAGGGGAATTTCTGCAGGATCCCACCCTGTGGGTGTAGTTCAGAAGTGGGCCAGGATGCCAGGCAGCAAACGCCAAGCTCTGAGGCAAGCCATGTTGCTGTATTAGATGGATGCCTTGCTCTCCATACAAGCCTGGAGCTTTCTTTGGTTGCTGGAAGCCGTGTAGACTTAGAAAGACGTCGCCTGCTTTGCTTGCAGGCTGCGAGCTGGCTCAGGTTGGGGTGTTTCTCACATGTGCTTTCACTGGAGGTGTCGGCAGGTCTGCAAGTCACGTATTGCATGGAAACATCTTGATGGCTACATTCCCCACCCAGTTCCCAGAAGACAGCCCCCTTTCCTGAAGCTTTCAGTGTAGAACAAAATGCAGGCTCTTTGGCCCCAAGAGTTCTTCAATATGTGGCAGTTCAGGAAGAAGGCATGCAAGCTAACCTGGACTCCATTGATGGGACTGTACCCATCAAGTCTACACTAACGGGCAAAGAACACTCCTGCACAGTGCTAAAGATGAAGCTAGAATCTCCTCCCATAGGACCGACCCCAATTCTGCACTGCTGTCAACAGTGTAAATCGGAATTCCCATCTGACAGCCCGTCCACTGGGATCAGTGCTCAGCGAGGCAAGTTGAATTCATAAATGTTTAGTTTTTCAAATAAAACTGAACTTGTTGCAGAGGCAACAGCAGTGGGAGAAGACAAGAAGTATGCTGCTTCAAGAAGTCGTGATGGATGGGTCTGCAGAAGAATGTGGTCCTGATCTCCCCTCAGACCCTCGAGGAGCAATACTAGTGGATGCTAAGCACTATTTCAGTGCAGCGTTTGCAACAGCTCACATGCACTCCTTCTGGCCTAAAACTATACACATGGGCAACAACAACAGGGAAAACTCTAAGCAGATCTGGCTACCTTGATGTGATTTCATTCCCTGCCCTTCCAGCAATTGCTTCTTTGTGTGCATTATTAGAGATTTATTTCATTGTATGTATGTTCCTTTTGGCCCAGCATTACAAGCAAAGCCTAGGGAATTCAGCCTTAAGAAGAAATTTAATCATGTTTCAGATTTAAAGGGCAGAACTAGGTAAAAGTCACCTTCTATTTTCTTTAGGATATTTGCATTTCAGCAGAAAGCAATTAACAAATTCCCTATGTGAGTTTTATTTGAATAAGTAAAAGCTAATTTCTCCTGCACTGCAAGTAAAATGCAAGGAGAAGAAAAAGAAAAAAAAAAGGTCCCTAAATGGTGTTGAACTTGTGGTATTTATGACTCTGGCCCCAATTGCCTTTCATATTTTCTTGGATCCTAAAGCTGTAGCCAAATTGGCTGGTTAAATGGGAATAAATGGTGCATTGTCTTTGAAACAAAGTCACACTTATTAAAGAGAAAGGAGTTTACTTTTTCAGAGTCACAGTTAATGACACAAAGCAGGGAGAGCATGGATTTTACACACAAGGAAGTCTTCGATACGAGCATGCAGTCTCCTTTAGTCTGCAAGAGAAGAGCTCTCAGAAAAATCCTTCAACATATTTGTGAAGTTAGAGCAAAACAGCCGACTGCAAAAGAACGCAACTGGGTTCAGCCTGGTGGTTTTGATAGGTCTGCAGCAAGGAGCAGTATGAAATCCTTCCCACAGATCTGGAATGTTGTTTTCTTCACCTGACAGCAATTTATTGTAACTGTACATACTAAAACGTTGGCCATTAGTAACTGAGCTTATATGTGGTTTTATAGTATTATACCACAAAGAATGCAGACTGCATTCCTGGTTCTGTCGCATCTGTAAGCAAAACGAAGACTAATGTAATAAGCGACTGAAAAAACCCTTGCGTTGGTGTGCAAATAGCTGCTATTATTGATTTGCCAATTCTGCATGCTCTGATGAACAGCAGAGTAGCGGAGTTAAACACATTCATGGATTGTGTAATTGCTTATAGATCTGGAAGTCCTTGTTAAATGGTAAGGTTAAAGCTAATTAGACACTGAAATGCTCCCCGTATTTCTCCCATTTTCTTAACAGCTGCAAGTAGAATGTTGGAAATTAGATGTGAAACTCTGTGCAGTCAAGTGAAAATTCCTGCCAGTTCCATATACCAAACAAGCAGAGTTAGAGAGTACAGTCCTGCACCACTCCAATTAAAGCAGTCTAATTAGTTTTTGTATCAGTATCTTTTAGTCTTCTGTACCTACTAAATGTACAGAAACATCTGCAGTACATGGCACCCATCTGCCAACAGCAGGAGCACGGGGCTGCCCATACTGCTGAAGTAGGGTATAAAAATCAGGAAAAAAAAATCTAAGCTGTTCCTCAGAGATGTTTGAAATGTTCATTTGTGTTCAAAGAAAGAAAAATAATTTGTAAATGCAATTTTGCTTTATTTAGATGGTTGGAATAACTTTTTCCCCCCTGCAGGAGCACTAAAACTCTCAGTCCTATCAGACCAAGAGCTAGAACAGTTTTTTCTTACCCTCTTTCATCTCCAATACCTAAGGGCTTTCTTGAGAGCAGTGGTGGCTGGCTGTCACGATGGCTGCAATGGAGGCCATCACACCCCATTGCTGACCTCTGCAGACACCTCCACTCCAGCTGCTTTCTGACCCAGCAAGCGTTCATTCATTTTCCTCCCACATTTTATTTTACAGACATGTAGCAACAGCCTGACCCCACCAAACCAGAGCAACGTGGGCAACTGAGCACACGGTCCATCAGACGGCACGCCTGCAGGTAGGGCTGTGTAGTGATGAGAGGTTGTTAGTGGGCTTCGGATTTGATTTCCCTATTTAACATCTCACACCCTCCCCACCGTACTGCGCTGAGATGTTGCTCTTGGGGATGGATCTGGCATTACCTGACAGCAGAAGGCAGTTGTGATTAATACGCAAAAATAGCCTTAGAACTTGAGAAAGAAAGTGAGGGCGGGGTAAGTCATTGCAAAGCGTCTCTGCTGGGAAGAAGCGTGAACAGCCATCATAGCACAGGTAGATGAACTCTCTCCACGGCAATCTCAGTGCTGCTGACAGCTTTTATTCTGCATGGAAGCCAATTAGCTGTGTGCAATACACTTCCAAACGTCTTTGATACGTCAAAGAAACCCGAAAGGCCCCTGGGGTGAAGTTCCACCGTCCTTTAAATCCCTCTCCCCCCTCTCCCACCATCGCTTCTGCTCTTACCCCTCTGCCGTCCTTGGCCTCTCGCCGCTGCCCCGGGGCCGGGGGGTCCGCGCCGCCCCCGGGCGAGAGGGAGTAGAAAGGGGGGCTGGGGCTGGGGGGCAGCCCCGAGTCCGGGCTGTCCAGCAAGCCTTCCCGGCTCTTCTCCTTCAGGCTCTCGTCCATCCCTTGCAGCTGGAGGTGCCCTACCATGTCTGGGGGGCAGCGAGGCGGCCGCAGCGGGAGAAAACCCTCCGGCCGCGGAGGGACGGGACGGGAAGGGCGCCCGGGGGGGCTCCGAATCCCGACGGCCGCCACCGGCCTGCCGCAGCCCGCGCCGAGCCGAGCGAGGAGGGGAGAGCCGGCATCGGCCGCGCTGGGCTGCCCGCCCCTCACCCGGCCCCGCGTCCGTCAGAAGGGACGGGAAGCGGAGAAAACCCGGCGGCCCCGCCGGCAGAGAGCGCTGGGCGGGGAGCCGGAGCGCGAGCCCCGAGCCGCTCCACGCGCTGCTGCCGGCCGCCCGCCGCCTCCCGGCGGCACATTTATCCGGAGAGGGTGGGAGGGAGCCGGGGAGCGCCCTCCCCTTTCCTCGGCCCCCGGCTCTGCCCGGCTGTACGTTTTCAGGCTCTTCCGAAGCTGAGAGCGTCTCTGCCGGCGCCCTGCCGTCCTCGCCCGCCGGGCTTCGTCCCCCGGGGAGACGTGAGGGTTCCCAGGCGCGCGCCCGCCGTCGCGGAGCTGTGATTCGACCTCACCCTGAGTTATCCCCTCACGCCTGGGTTTTCCTTCACTTCTGTCAGACGGTTACCTCCCTCCTGTCAGGTTTTTACCTCACTAATTTCACCCCCACCCATCAGCCACCCCGGCAGCTTTTTCCCTCAGCGTGAAGGCCCGCGGGCACGAGGGAGGAGCTCTTCCCAACAGCCGCCGTTCCTCTTCATTCCTCTTCATTTCGGGGCGGCTTTGGCCAAGCACTGAGTGGCTGTGTCAGGGCATACACAGCTGCCGTAGCCCCCTCTCTGGTGGCCGTGCCCTCATGGCAGCCCTTGAGGTATTGCACAGCCTAAAACGTGGGCATCTCTTTCTTTGACCATCTCCACAGCTGCAGGTTCACAACCACAGAGGCAGTAGCCTTGCCATCCTGGCCGCCACGTGCTTGGGCCACTGCAAGTGTGACAGAAGAGCATCCCAAAGCCGAGCACACCGTTACCCAGGAGGAGCAAGATGCCAGCACTGAGGTGGATGGGTGGCCATGTAAACCCTCACAGTTTGGAGAAGTAGCAGTGGTTAAACAGCTCGAGTTCACAGAAGCCAAGATGGATGTCTGTTGCACAATAACTGGCTGATGTTAACGGTACCTTGTCCACAGTCCTGGTTACGTTTTTCTCATCATGTTTTCTCTCTATGTAGAGTCCAGACTGTGAGAAATTTCAGGCAGGCCCACTCATAGTTCTCAGCCTGGAGCATTATTTGCAGCATGTAGGTTTTCCTGGGAAGCTGCTGACAACTAACAAGCCCAGTACTGAGCAGAACAGGATCATGGCTGTTTGTGCTGCACTAGTAACAGAGTCCATGAGCACAACATTTGTTATGGCAGCTGACAAGAGTGTGGGGTGTCTGGTATGGCATCTAGTGATGATGACTTTTGTGACCAAGCCCTGAAGATGGCACGGAGTCCTCAGAGACAGTTTTGATGCTAAAAGAGTCCTCACTCCATCTCCAACAACAAGCCACGCTTGGGGTGGTAGGTGACCTTGCCAGCTGATAAAGCTGGGTTTGTTAAGGCGTGTTCTGCTCAACTCAAAAGGAAAGGCCATGGATGCCCAAATCCACCCTTGACTGAGATGAGGGGCCCTCCCCACAGAGACTGAAGTGATTTGTATGTACTGAGCTGTGCAGAGGAATGTCACTGATTTATAAATGTCAAACAGGCTCTGAGCAGCCCACACACGAACCTCAGTGAATTCTTACCTCTGACCCACTCATTGGCTCCAGCAGCCACACAGGCTGATTTAGGGCCCCTTACTGTAAGAGCTTTAATATCTCACACAGGCTATGGCTGATCTGAAAATGTCAAAGGGGACCAAAGGTCAAAATTTCCATCAATTAGGCCCTGGCTTGCTACCTATCATGTAATAGGATTCTCTAGCCAGTTAATGCTGGCTACACTACAGACATTCAGCACAGCACTTCCCCTGCAGCCCTGTTCCCCTGCCCCTCTCCTGAACTGCAGTGACTGTACGTGTAAGGAGAAGGAGTATCTTCAAAGCTGCTTTCCCCCAGGAGAAAGAAGGAAATGGACTCAGCAACGGGCAGGAGTGAGTACCCTATTCTTTACTTCTGTACAGATATATTGTAGTTTGGATAGCAATGGGAGGAGAGACTTCTTTTTCTACTTGTTTTGAGAACCTACAATCCAGTATTTCCTGGATCTAAGTAACATATATTTTTTAAATTAAATTTGAGCATAAAGCATATTTTCAGCACAGTAGTGGATGTTTATAGTTTAGTTTTCCAAGTCCCATGTTGTTGAAGTGCTAGGCAATGTTGTGCAGCCCCAAGCATACACAGAGGTACAGACTTCACTTACAACTGGCTAAACTGCTGCTGGCTTCTGCAGGGCATGTGTTGGCACGTATTATGGTGGTATTATTATTATTAATCTGTTTAAAGTTAGTACTGTGCAGCTCAACCAAGATGGGGTGCTCTCATGTAAATCACAGGGTGGCAGATGGTAAAAAATGCCTCCTGTCCTGACAGGTATGATGGAAATGGGTTGTTTGTTGCTCAAAAGTCCTTCTGAAGCAACAGGGTCTGGTTCTTGGCAAGTGAAAATCCGGCTGAGTAGAAATTCATTGCGGGTGAAGTTTGCAGACACAGGTATATATATCATAGAGTTGTTAGAGTTGGAAGGGACCCCCAAAGGTCGTCTAGTCCAACTCCTGTGCAGTGAACAGGGACATCTACAGCTTAATCAAGTGCTCAGAGCCCTGTCCAGCCTGACCCTCAGTGTCTCCAAGGCCAGGACTTATGCCACCTCTCTGGGTACCCTGTGCCAATGCTTCACCACCCTTATTGTAAAAAACTTCTTCTATCCAGTCTAAATCTTCCCTCTTTAGTTTGAAACCATTCCCTCTGTCTTATGACACAGACCCTGCTAAAGAGTCCATCCCTCTGGATGCAGTACTCCAGCTGACAGGATCACCTCCCTGACCTGCTGGCCATGCTGCTTTGGATGCAGCTCAGGATACAATTGGTCTCTTAGGCTGCAAGGGCACATTTCTGGCTCATGTCCAGCTTGCCATCTGCCAGTACCCTCCAGTCCTTCTCAGCAAGGCTGTGCTCTATCCTTTTCTTCCAACAGTTTGTACTGATAGTGAAGGTTGCCATGAACCACGTGCATACCTTGCACTTGACATTGTTGAACCTCGTGAGGTTCGCCTGGGTCCACCTCTTGAGCCTGTACAGGTCTTTCTGAATGGCATCCTGGCCCTCAGGTGTGTTGACTGCACCACTCAGCTTGGTGTCACTGGCACAAAATGATGTAGCACAGGTGGGAAGTCCTGAGGGAAGGACGCAGAGACCTTCCTGATGTGAGCAGCTCAGCTTCTGAACAAAATCCCATGCCCTTCCTTGAATCCACTGGAGTTTGAATTTCTGCATTCTTGGGTAGGTCCACTGCCTCCTGTTTCCCTAGCTATTCTCTTAGCTAGATTTAAGCACTTTAATAATCTGCCATCCCACAGACATGGCAGAATGTCAGCATCACGTGCTAAGTTTCCTTCCACTGCTGCCAGGCTTGAAAGACAAATACTGTGAGAGAAGAAATAGACAGGATACAAACACCTACATCAGGACTTTTTCTGAAACAGGCTGGGTGGCAAAATTGGAAGAATGCTAGGAATGTCCATTCTGGTTCACTGTCAAACTTGATCCTTCAGAACACCCACAGCATAACTAGCCCCAGTAAGAATGGCTCAGGCCACAGTTGGAAGCAACTATGCTCTCTGGTTCCTTCCAAAGAGGTTCAGCCTTTCAGCCTTTCCTCTCCTCGTGAGAATGATACTGAAGGACACCAAAGCAGCAGCATCGCTCCAGGCAAGGGGAGGGTAATCACAGTGCAGGACCACATATAAGGTCTTGCCACATATAGGCCTGGCACCTCCTGGAGGGTTTTTTTCCTCAGCAAAAAAAGGATCCACAGCATGAGGATGCCATACTGCAATGCACTGCACGGATACAGACGTTGTTACAAGCTACAGGAAGCACATCCGTAGTGCTGTACCTGGAAGCCACATGCCAATTTTTGCAGTACGGCTTGGATAAGTTCAAATCAAAGGAGCCTTTTGCCTGAACGAGCAGAAACCTTTTGTCGGGAGATAAAACCACCTCTCTCCTGAAAAGTCCTGCTCTTTCTTTGTCGGGCAGTCCTCACATCAGAAATTCTTGCAACCTGGACTCTGAGTCTTGGCTGTTTGGTCAAGTGAAGACCACAGCCCAGAAGGAGCCAGTCTGACACAGGGATCACAGCTTCTGAGAGCTCTCTCAGGAAAGGTCTCCTTGGAGCATCCTCAGGTACAGCTTTGCCAAGCCACCGCAGGTTCTTGTAACTTGTTCCTGTCTCCCTTTAGTGCACTGCTGTGTCAATATTGCACTGTGGGAGAAACCAGAATGCTGTGCAGTTCTTTCAGGTCTTGGCTGCACCTGCCATGGCCCTGTTACCCTTACCAGTTAAACACTCCCTCATAGCAGTGACCTGGAAGAAACTGTCTAGCAAGAAATGAATGCCAAAGCCACAAAAACTGTTTTTTTGGGTTCAGGAACGGCTGTTCTTGGCAGTAAATCAAAGGTAGAAAATTTTCTTTGAATATTTTGGGCTTGACATAAAGGTAGTTTATCTCCCAGCAGTAGACTTTGCTACTGCAGTCAGGAAGGATGATCTCTAAAGGACATGCACAGAGTAACACGCAGCAAATGGAACTTTTCGTTTGTTACTGCACAAAGCGCAGTCATTGCCACAACCAAGGCAAACAAAGTAACTGAAGGTTGTATTACAGAATGAGCAAAGGGTCCAAAGCTGTGAAAAAGTTACCATAAAAGCTTCTGCTGACCCTGCTGACCTTTGAGAAGGGCACTACGTGTAATCTGCTCAATTGCCTGTTGACTCCAGTCAGCATTTGCTGATGCTGCTACACACTTGAGTCAAAACACTTCCCTGCCTCACTGCCCTGGCAAAGGACCTGCCTGTTATCCTGTAAAATATCCTCTGCTTGTCTGTCAGAGCTGCTATGCTGTAATCTTGGGAGATAATCAACACCAAAACCATTCATAAATCACAGCTAACAGAATAGATGCTGATAGCGTCTTAAATTTCAAGCCTGAGAAGCCGTCATTTCAACAGTGACGGTCGAAAGGGAGATTAGGAATTCCTTTACATGGAAAAGTTTTTCTTGGAAGAGCAACCCTCTCTTTGGTTGCCTATAAATACAGTCATGTGGATTTGATTTTTACATGGCCCTTCTGCCCGCCTGCAGGGAGCACTCGGAGGCCCAGTGGGCCTGTTCTAGCACCGGACGGCGGTGGGATTTGAGCAAGTGAAGCATCAAAAGCAAAGAACTGAAGCTTTGCTAGGAGCCAGTAGAGGACAAAAGGGCTGTTTGGGATGCTATGGCAGGATGTCCCATAGAACCAGATGCCTCTTGGCTCCAGTACTGATTGCAGAATAGGAGTGAGACTGTGTCATTTCATGGTGCAAAGTGGAGCATTCAGATTTTGTCTGCACTTGGTGCTGGGTATGGTGAAATCTGTAGCCAAAAAGTGAATGCCGGGCTCAACTGACACCTCAGCTTGCAGAGGTGCCTGTCTCTGATCCAAATTATCTTGTTCTGTTCATTTGAAGAAACCACTTTGCAGAGGAAGAAAGGGAAGGGAAAAGCCTCTGTACTGTTCTCTGCCTCTTTTGGGTGTAGTGTGTGATCTAGCTGTCTCCTTTTCCATCCATGGAGCAGAATAGGAGACCTAATAAGAAAGTCAGAAAAAGGTCACGTGGAGAAGCATAAGCTGTTAAGAGGTCTAATGTGTTTTCCTTCAGTTACTCTTCCATTCACAGTGGGAACTGGGTGGCACTCTGCTGCTATGTTTACACCCCCTGATTTATAGACGTACCCTGTGTCCCTGTCCTACTTAGTTTTGTGACTAGGAAGGGAAAAATATAGTTCTAGGTAGGACACTTTTATTCTGAGCATCATCAGATAAGTACCCTAGTGAATTTATGAATTTAAAAGAAAAGTCAAAAACCAAATGTTATTTTTGATTTTCTGGTGGCTTTTTTTTAATTTTTTTTTAGTGAAGCCTGGATAACAGTGAGGATAACACAGCCCAAGAAAAAACATCTTCCTCAGATTTTTTTAAAGAGTGCAGGACCAGAAGGGAAATGTAAATCCTCACTGAGCAGCTTACAGATTAAATTCTTGACTCAACAGAAGTTACTGTAAGAATTCCTGTAGTTCACATTTTTGGCTAGTCTATTGGAGTAGTGTTGTGTCTCTTTGATTTATGACATGTTATCCCTCTTCTAATGTCTCACAGTCAGTGGCTCATTTCTTCTCCAGGTATCCAACCCATCTGGCACGTTTATAAAGCTTGGAAGGACAGCCACAGCTCTCAAGTTGCCTGTTGAGACATGGCATGTTGAAAACAGGTCGTTGTACAGTGACACGTGATGGACAGTAGGAGAGATGGCCCCATTCATCTATTACCTCTATTTCCTGCAGCTCTAAATAAGGTATGACATAAAAGAAATGATTTGTGCACCATATGGTGGCCTGAGGATTGGAAGGCCATCTTCTTCCAAGACCAGTAGCTGTCAACTTGTCACTTGTGGAAGGAAACCAAGAAAAGCAAATCTACAGTCAAGTTAAATTCACTGTACAGAAGCTGCATCATTGCTGAGAGTCCACAAATGGAAAGAAAAAAAAAGTCAGAATTCACTGTCCTAGGGAACTTTTCAAGTTAAAAGTCTTTGGTTCCCATGTCTTAGCTAAAATACTACTGACAGCCAGTTGTTTCAGGATCTCAACATCTATCCTAATAAAAAAACAGAAGCTATTAATTGAACCTTCTTGGAGATATCAGTCCATAGATCCTGGAACTCAGCGATCTCCAGAATCATTCTTACCAGTCATTGAGCTGAAAATCTATTTTCCCTCTTTTTTATCCTTATCAGCAGGCTCTTAGCATATATCTCACACACGTACCTCCTCCATGGCAATCCGGGAATAACCCTGTGCCACTGGGGTTCTATTCAGCCTCCTTTGATTTCTGTAATAACCAAAGACAAACCCTCTGTGGTGCTCAGAGGGGCTGACTTCAGCACTACTAGTCAGTGTCTGACCATGTATCCAGCTGCTTAGCAGTCTGAAACAACAGCCCCATACATGACACAAGCTTGGGCTAGACTGGTTAGCCAAAGTCCTCTAAGTTTACTTAATTGCTTTCAAGAATTTAGCAAAGGTTGATGAGGAAGTGTAGTCACCTGTCCACCAGCAGCTGGGCTGAGATCTCTGGAGTCATCAGCTAAATTACCCTGAATTGATGACCTGTAGAATAAAAGCACTACAACTCAGCCCCCGTGATGTACCCAGTCCCCATTTCCTTTTGTATTTCTTTAATAGAAAAATAACAGGAGAAGTAATTACTGGCCATGTGAAATTTAAGTTCATACAATATTTCCTGTGAGGCTTCAAGCAACTCCTTGTAAAAGCAGATAAGTTAATCTATCTTTTGGTTTGGGTCACAGTAGGTTTTCAGCTTTAAATCACTGTGGCACGGTAACTAATGGCATTTACCATAGAAATGATGTTGAAAAAACAAGGAACCTGACCAATTATTAGGTGTATATTTCCAGTGAAAACAACCCACATACAGGCAGTGTCAGTAAAAAAAGGATGATTGATCATCTGGACTTTGTTCCCTTGCATTTTCCTCCCCTCTTTTTCTACAATGCAATATTAACTCTGGGGCAATTATTGTAATGAAATCTGCCAGCAGACTTTTCAGCACGAGGAGTTCTGGCACCACCAGGAGGGGCTCAGCAGGGCATTTTACCCGTGGAGGCCGAAACCGCACAGCAAGAGGAGCGTGGTCCTTCCCATCGTTCAGCTTTCAGAAAGACCAAGGTGAGGGTTTTACCAGAGGTGGGGCTTTTTTCCACTTTGAATTCTTAGTAAAATGCTGTATGTTCCAGTATTGACTCAGAGCTCATTAAAGTCAGTGCAAAGATTCTTGTTGACTTGAATGAACGGTGGTTTGAACCCTAAAGCTATTATGTGATCAAAACACCCACTAAGCTGTAAATATGGAGGTGTTTTGTTTGCATTGCAGATATAATATTTGGCTACAAGGCAAGGATGCTTCAGATTGTTTTCTGCAGTGGTTTTTGTGCCTCTTTCTGATGCTCAGTATTTTTACTGCACTGTTTATAATTAGAATTTTGTTGATTAGGTTAAATAAATTGGCCAGATTCGATCTCAGTGTAAAACAGAAGCAACCAAAAGCTACTGAAGTCAGTGAATTAAACTTGGCTTATCTTACAGAGTATGTATGTTGAGCTGTTCCCTTCTAGTGTGAAGAGAGCTTGCTCTCATGGTACAATATGCAATACACACAGATATTTTCTGGTCAGAAAAAAAGTCAAGGACAAAATGAAGGCTTAGAGCTCAGAGCTTCTCACTGAGCGGTGTCATTCTGAACGGCCTTTGGAAAGGAGTGTCACTTGTTCTCTAAACTGCCACAACACCCTGGGATGCTGTAAAAATAGCTGGCAGTGCCTGCCTGACAGGCAGGAGACGTGTGACCCTAAATTATGATGTTTTCATTTACATGATGAAATGAATGCTGCCTTAGACAGAGGCTGAAACACATCTGTTTGCGGTGGGAATGCCATTTTAGGCCCATTTCTTTTGAAAGTAGGGTTGGAATTGCCAGGGATCAGCAGAGCTCCGGGCTCACAAAGAGGGCACTGTCTTTGAGGAGTCTTTACATAAACCCTGCACAACCGAGGCAACAGGAGTTTGCACAGCTGCTGCTGGAAGCAAACATGTACTTTTAGCTGACCTGGGCTGGTGACTTTGGGCGTTAAATCTGACGCTTTCCAGATGTAAAGCCCTCTCCTTCCATGGTCCCCAAACATTCAGTCCCCAGGTAAGAAGGAAAATAATAACAATAATAATAATAAAAGGGTGCTGTAAATCCCTCACTGTAGTGTGTATTCCAGAGCTGACTTTTATAAATTGCGCGGTCCGGTTTGAAGGTGTGTGGCATTATCCTCTCCCAGGAGTTGTGTTTTGAACATTTGATTCAGAGCTAATTAGCGTTGCTTGTACATTCAATCCCATCTCTGTCTGAGCAAACCAGGTGGCTAGATATTAAGAGTTCTTTTGACCTGCTGGATTTGGTGAATGTGGGTCTTTGAGTATAAGACTTCCATGGAATAGTCCTGTGCTGAGCCCCAGATCCATTCACAAGCACAAAGGCATCTTGCCAAATAATCAACAAATGAAGCTTTGCACTTCATGGCAAAACAGCCTTGTGCAACAGGAGACAGACTTGGTGGGGAGGATGTGATGGGATGCTTGTGAAGAATTCACTGCAGGGCAAGATACAGAGGAGGGGCTGAAGAGAGGCTGTGTCCCATGTCCTGACTGCATCTGTGCGGGTTTCGAAGTTGCCATGACTGCACAGCAGGCCCTGGGATAACATTTTTCACTTGACTCTCAGTAGGAAATGGAACCTCAGCCTTGCCTCAGGTCCAGCATAAATTGTTCTCCTGCCCAGATGGGTAATTTTTAACAGCAATTCCCTTTGCATCTCTCTGCAGCCCTTGGATGTTGAGAAGTTCTTAGGGAGGGTGAAGGAAGGGTGTGGGGTTCCTAAAGAGAATCGTTTATTTTATTCCATTTTATGTAGGTGTGGTATTTATAAAGGCTCTGAAATTGGCAGCAAGAAAAGACAAATATTCTGTTAAACAGCAGACTGTCCCTGCGTAGACAGCTGCAGCCCAGCCTCTCCTCGGTCTCCTTGCCAGTTCTCTCAAGCATGACCTGGTTTGAGGACCACCTTCAATGAGATCAAAAGGTGATTTTCCCAGTGCTTGCTCCACATACCATTTACTGCCTGTCAACTGGGCGGTGACTATATATGATTCTGGCCTCCCTTATCTGAAGTACAGATAACTCCAGGGAAGACAGTTGTTCAGTGAAGGTCAAATTAGCTTCTAGAGAGCTTTCAAAGCCCTAGAGATGTGTTCCATCCAGGGAAGTGGCTACTCAAAACTGGGCCACTCTCTTCCAGGAATTTGTTGACCGTATTTCTCAGGGGACAGTATGCAGTTGCTATCATTTCTCACAGACTTGACAGAGTCCACTTTGCATTATGGAGGAAGAAGTCCTCAAGGAAATATGAGACATCTAAACCACAACCCCTGTGAGGCGGCACTGGGGATACTTACAGGGAAATGAGGTTTTAATGGTTTATTGAACACATTCAGACTAAAACATAGTTTTCTGATTTTGTTCCAAGTGGTCCTGAAGAAAATACTGCTTCTTGACTTTCCTTAATTGAAAGAAAAGAAGAAGTGTATTTTTATTTCTTTATTCTGAAAAGGAAATGGAGTTCAAAATCAGGATGTTTTTCTCCTTGAAAATTTCAATTTTGTGAAAACCACCTCTTTACTGGGCAGCCTTCCCAAAGGGAATCCCCAGCCAGCCCCACTGCTAATATCAGTGCACACTCTTTGGAGCTGATCCAAAGGTCATTCACGCCATTAGACATTTTTATCACGGACTTGAATAAACTTTGGACCAGGCTCTTTTTGGCAGGAACATTCACAGTCTGGAAACCTAAAAATAAATCCTGATTTCAAGCCATCCACAGCTTTTCAGCCACCATGATGGTCCGAAGGTATGAGCTTGTCAGAGAGAGGGTGATGAAGGGATTTGGCCATCTCTCTGGCTGGTTATCTTTTTCTTTTCGCTGTAATAAACAAGGAGGCAGAGAGCATTCTACAGCCTAAAAGTTTGGAGTTCTTTATTCATTATTTCCCTTTGAATCATCAACTGCAGACTGAAAATGTCTCAGGAGATTATCTGTTTTTTGTTCAGAAAGTTTTTTCAGCAGTAATAGCTCCTGAAATATGCAACGTTGTCATCCTCAGGTATAGGAAAAGGAGAAGTCCCTTCATGGTGCAGTTTGACTGCAATAGTAGTTCTGCAAACCAGTGAAAGGTATTGTCCCACGAGAGAAGAACTGCTCAGAGCAGCGCTTTTTGTTATTTTGTCCTGCCCATGGTCTGAGAGGTTGGCAGGAGTCAGAATGAGGAAAAAAAAAAAACCTTGGCTGCAACGAATCGTTATCATCTCATTCACTCTACCCATTCCTCTTGCTACACACCATAAAGGGATTGCTCTACAAATACTGATAGTGAGTCTTATCTTGCAATTATTACGCTTAAACCCCATCTAAAGCCCGTTCCAGCTGTCTGTAACAGCCTGAGTCCAGCCTTTGAGCAGAAAAAGCAAAATGTTTCCAGCATTTCAATTAATTTCTCCTGCCACAAGTGCTTAATAGGCTGTCACTTCTTACTTGCTGGTGAATCCCTGAAGCTGAGCTCAAGTAACTGCCTACTTATTTGTATGGCCACATTTTCTGCAGCATTTCTGGGACTCAAAACGAACACCAGTCCTTATTTACATGATGTATATTTAGTAGTCTAATTGTAATGGATTTACATTTATGCAAATTGTCGTGGTCTAATGCATCTTTAGCTCAGTTGGAAAACTGGATGTGGAGAAAATTACAGACATTTTGGCTCTATGGACCCTTCCCAGGATCAGTAGGTCTCTGTGAGGCAGTTCTCAAAATGGCAATTGCTAAGGAGAAGGAGCTTGTTTGACATGTGAAATTAGGGAGGGCAGAGTGAAGAACAGGTGGATATACAATATCAGGACATGAAGGCAGTGAAAAAGAAGATGTTGACGAGAGATGGAGAAAATTAGAGGCCGTTAGTCAGAAGGGCAGTGGGCTTGCTAGCACTGACAGCCTGGTGGATGGGCACAGTGCAGGTGGCAGGATCCTGCTGGAGCAGCGTGCAGTCACAGCAGTTGTTGGCTGTGGTCAGGTCACCAACCAGCGTGGTTGGTCCGTCCGACTGCTGGGTATTTTGTTCTTCACACCTAACAGGAAAGGAAGCGCTTGCTTCGTCCACAAGTTTCACAGCAGCCATTCTTCTGTTTCCTCCATCAGCTTGTTGCTGCAGTTGTCCCCATTCCCAAGGCAGCTCTCGCAGCTGTGGCAGTCTCTGTTTAAGGGTGTTAAGTTGTGGCAGTAATAATGCTGGCTCTAGTGAGAATGCAAACGTGTAGTTTGTTGATCCTGGACTGCAGAGCAGTACTACTGCCTGGCAACTACGCCACAAGAGCTGGCAGGCAGAGCTGTTTGCAGCACACTCCTCTGAAAGAGGAAAGGGTGTTTTCAAATTTCCTCTTTCCCTCCCTGTCCTCCAAGTTAGAGCCTGCCAGGAAGCTGTGGAGAGAAGCTGTGGTGCTCCAAGCTAACTACAGATGTCTGAGCTCTTGCTTCAGGACGTGGACCCCCAGCAAACTTGCTGTCTCCACAGTAGGTGTGCATCACTGGAGGCTGAGGATGGCACTGGGTCACTGGACCTGTCCCCTTTGCGAGCAAATCTGAAAACTCTTTTTAGGATCAGCATAATATCCTAAACATAATAATGTGTCCAGTGCATAGAGGATTTAAATGTATCTTTTAGGTGCCAACTTTTCATTGAAACCTGGTCCCATTTCAACCTCTCCTGAATTTTCAGTGTTCAGAGGCTGGGCTGAATGTGAGTGACAGAGTACCAGGGAATTTCGCTGGGTTTATTCACCAGCAGGAAATTGATGCCAGCAAACTAGGGGGAGAACAAGGACTGCTTGATTTGTTCTTCCCCAGCAGCTACCTAATTCATGCGTCTTGTTTGCTCTGTTTTACATGCATACACGTGATACTCCAAACAGCTAAAAAAATTAAGTGAGCAGAAGCTGTGGAGGACTAGCAGCTCAAACACAAAGAGGTACCAGAGCATGGATGGAAAAGCTGGTGGCCTGCAAGAGTATCTTTGTGTTTTTGCCCGCAGCTGTCCTGTAAGTGTTTCACCCCAAAGGCGTTGTCTGTTAGAGAGCAAAATACCAATCCAGTGCAGTTAAGGAGACACTGCTTCCCAAGCAGCCAGGGGCCATTTCTAAGTGCATCTTATGGTGTATGAATTTGAGGCAGTTTCTTCATTAATCTCCATCCATCTTGGTTCTAGAATGCTTTTGCAGTTTGAAGTGTCAGACTTACCTGTCAGTGCTCTTGTGAAGGTGGAAAAGCCTTTGTGTGCAGAGGGACTGAGAGGCGTTCGCTCCTTACAACTACAGCGTGGCTTTGATGTGGAACTGAGTTAGGATGGCAGATTTCACCTGACTGTCAGAGTTTGCATGAGATATAACCAGGAACCAACCACCTGCCCCCGAGGTACAGCTGCCTCAGAGAGACAGACAGCAGCTGATTCATCATTCATAGAAGTAATGATAATTATACAGCTGAAAATTCAAAGGGACATCTATGTTGACAGAAGTTAGTTGTCCTGTTTGAAAATGGTCTAGAGAAAGAGGATAACGTGCAGGGGTTGTGCAGTCACAACCTCAGTTATTCATCTCCTTTGATGTCTCAATTAGCAGAACTAGGAGCAAGGCCAGGAGTGCAACTTCATGGTTGTTTCCAGGTTTTTAGGGGTAAAAAAGGTATATTTATTAGAATAGGCAGGTCACAATTTTACTGAGAGATTGCTAAAGGAATTCAGAGCCTGTGGGGTTTATGACAAGGTGATGAAAGAGGAATTCTGATAGTTACCCAATAAGCTTCTTTTTCCAAGAACATAAAGTTAAAAAAAAATAATAATAAATGAGGATTTTAATTTATTTATTTATTTTTATGAATGGGTTCTTGTAGCGTGCAGGCTGCTAACACTATCAACATTGTTTCTGGGGAACTCCAGACATCTAATCAATCTTCATTCTGTAAGAAAATGTTCCAAATTATACAAAAACCACATGGCTTCTCCTGTTTGTAGGGAAAAACCCGACCTGACCCCATCTGTGTTCCAGGATGGTTCAGTCCCCATCTTAGGACTAATTCCAGCAAGGCTTGTGATCCATTTTCACTGTCCTAGCACTCAGCAGAAAGCACTTTGTGTAAGGATGCAGCTTTCCTTAAGTAAAGAGGGAAGCGTTCCAGGGAACACAGGGAAGGGAAGATGGTGTCAGGAGCACTGCATTACACCTCCCAAGCTGCTCGTGTTCTTCAGCATGCTGAGGCCACAGCAGATGCATTCATGATCTTGCCAGCTACAGAGAATGCACCATTTGCCTCATATCGACTGTATCATTTGCTCCCATTTCTGAGAGTTGTGCCCAGTTTATTGGTAGGGGCAGCGTTCAGAGTGTGTTGGGTCAGGACAATATCAGCCACTGCTTCCAAGGCAGTTTGGTGCCCCAGAAATGTTGCTATAGGAAGAGGGGAGACGTGAGCTTGGATAGTGAGTCCAGCAGGGCAAGGCCCTAACTTCCCAGGCCAGCACTGCAGTCCTGCTTTTCTAATTGCTTGTGCTTGTTTTCCCTGAGGACTCCTTGCTGCCAGAGTTCCCCACAGGTTTCATTTCTGTTCCAGATGCCAGCATGCTGTTTGCTCCTGCTTTCCTGGACCAGGAGAGGCCAGCCCCTGCTGGTTGCTTCCACAGAGCTTGTTACAACCCCTCTTTAGGTTGTGGGGAGGTTGAGAGCTGTTCTCTTCAGACAGTATCTCTTCCAAAATGTTGAGGGCTTTTGTTTGGCCTTTATACATACACATCTCATGCTGTAGACATGGTGAGAGTGAAATAAACAGTAGTTTTATTTTTTTATATATATAAATGCAAGTTCACAAATTGCAAAGGCAATTTTTCCTTTGAAGAAAAAAGGATTTCTGCTGAAAAGATGTTCTTTGAAGACTAATCACTTCTCTCATAAATTACCCTGCTGCTTCCTATGGATACTGTGCAGAAGAGTGGTGCATCCTATCCTAGTCACTAGTTTCAAAGCCCAGTTCAAACCAAAGCAAATTGCAAGCATTTTGTTGCTTTCTGAATGGAGCAGGAAGTGTTTGAGGTTGTGTGGCAGAGCTGGTGCTTCAGAGGACTCTTAGCAATATGCTTCTCAGTTTGTTAAACCTGTGTTAAATGCAGCACTCTAACTGCCTTTCTCCGCCCATTAGGAGGCTAGAAGGCTGACAACCAGTGTCGCCTCTCAGTGATGTTTATTTCTTTTTAAACAAATATACAAATGGCTACAACAATTTGAAACTGCTTCTTGTGTGCATAGCCAATTCCATCTGCATCACCAGGCACGGTATCTGCAGGTCTCACCCTCCCTCCTCAGACTGCTGGTACCAAGCATTGGTGTCTCTTGGGAGCTGGCTGTGCTGCTATCCTCCATCAGCACCGTGGCTGTGCAGCACAAGTCTCACCTCTCATGTGGTCTTACTTGCAAGCAGCTCCAGGGTCTGGTGCAAGGCACTCTCCTCCCACAGAAGAGGGAGAAAGAAAACAAGTCCCTTGACGTCAACCTGCCTGCAGAAATGTTTTCCTACTGAATGAATGTTTTTCTAAATATAAAATACCTGCCATCTGGCTAAATATACCTAAAGAGAAAGAGGTAGTGTATGGCACAGGTAAGCCTGCCTGGACCTTCTCTTGTATGTTTGGAAAAAAACAGTCAAGTGGAATATCCTACATACTGGTGCTTTAGCGCTGCTGTACTGGTTTCTCTTGCCCTGAAAACTTTGTCACCAAACTGATCACCTGGTGTATTTATTGTTGTGTTTTGGCTCAAAGGTCTCTCAGAGGATCAGTTTGGGTCACTAGCTCCAAAAGCGACGTCTGCCAAGGCGCTTATCTGAGTGCTGTGCTGGAAGTAATGCAGCCTAAATGAGGGACTTCATCCTGATAACTTTGCACCATGTTCACCCTTCTCAACCATCAACTCTTTCTTTATTTTCAGACATTCCAGGATCAGATATGATTAAAGGCCCAGGCATTCAGTGTGCTATGCACCTCAAAGCATTTGAGGCAAAGGTAGGTCAGGGAAGATGCTGAGGGTATTCTAGCTCAAACAGCTACAGAAACAAAGACGTGTCCCCTCCTGACTGACTGCGAGCCACGAAAGGAAGAAGTTTGTCCTGGGGGCAGGGTGAGACCTAGATTGCCCAATTCCTGGTTCTTTCTACCCTGCACTTTAGTGAAAAACTACAACTGTATCCATCCAGGAAACTAAGGCTGATCTCAGAGAGTCAAACTGCTTCCCTCACTGAGGAGGAAAAAACACATCTTGTGAACAATTTATGTATAAAATATTTGCTCACTCTTTCTTAAATAATATCAAGGAAAACTGAGAAACCTCAGCAAAAAATCTGTCCTGCCCTTTCTTTGTCTACATCCACTTTTTTTGTTTCTTTCCAAAAACAGTTGGATTTCCGGACAAAGAGAATTGGAGCTTTGCTTTGAGTTTTTTGGCTCTTCTCAGTTCATGTCTCTCTGGCTATTCCTTTATTCAAACAGAGTCTTTTGTATGGAGTATATGAGGTTGAACCAAGGGCAAATATTTTTACAGTCTCATATTCTGAATTGACACCAGCCAACCCACCCTTCTACACTGCTCTAGCAGAATTTAATGTCAAGTTGTTCCCCTTCTTCAAAGGTCTGACTGTGCCCTTCAGCACAGTCACAGGAGTCCCTTGACTCCATAGAGCCTCTGAACTGTACTGTCAAGAAAAAAGCATTGCCTTGCAGTCACTCTGCCCTATCTAGGTCTGGGCTGCACAGCCAAAATCCAGGTGCTTTGTCTGAGTGAGGTGGGTGCTAAGATTTTGAGTTACCTTCTCAGACGAAAGAGAGAAAACAGCAATGAATTCTGGCCCTGTTTGTGAATGGGAAGAAGTAGAGAGTTCGAAAATGAAATAGGATTGAAGGGAAGCTGCTTTTCCAGGGACAGGCTTGAGAGAAGGAAAAACCTAGGAATAACTGGAGGAGAACATTCAAGACCAGCTTTGAAGCTGATAACAGACTGCTCGTTATCTTTCGTTATTTCTCTCTACTTCTTTCATCTGTTTGTTGGTTTGTTTTGTTTTGCTTTGTGTTGGTTTGTTTTTTTTTGGTGGGGGACGTGGGTTTTTTGTTGTTTGTTTGTTTTACCATTTTGCCTTTTCTCAATGCCTTCTTCTTTCCACAGATAACTTCCTTGCTTTAAGTTTCAAGCCCTTGGTGTCTGTTAGTTATTTTCTCTTTCAGCTACTTAATTGTTTTCATCCTTTTCTTTTCTCTTTGGCAGAAGGAGGTGAAAGGCATGAGAAAGTCTGGATGAAGGAGATAAACCAGCAAGGAAGCCGGTTCCATTCTTCTATGAGAGACATCCTGAAGTCACTTGCTGTAGTCAAACATTCCTGCAACGGCAAGTGCTGTGGATCTGAGGAGGCTTGTGGTATGCTGTCACTGCAATGGAGTATTTTGGAGAGTGGGTTGTTGTTTTTTGGGGGCAGGATGTTTTTCCATTGTTCAGGGATGTTATCCCACCCTCGTCTTGGTGGCACATAAACTGGGATTTGTTAGTAATACAGGCAGTAGTAAGGCCTACGAGGTGCTGAAGTGCTGGACTTGACACTGGAGGAAGAGAGGGAAACCACTATGGCTGCCTCTGGACTCAAAGCAGAAGGCACTTTTCAGTGAAGTCCTTTGGAATTTGAAGCCAGTCACTGCAGTATCCACGTAAGTACTCGTCCCCCTGCTTCCTTCTCTGCCTCCATCAGGTTCCATTCATGTGCCTGTTGACCCATCTCTTCCCCCTCCTTGCAGTTTGTATTTCAAATGCAGCCTTTGTGCTGCCTGTCTTGTGGAAGCCTGAGTGCCAAGGTAGTTAGGCATGGGTCTGTGGGTCTAGATGCAGTTGTGGGTCTGGCCATCCCTGGAAGATGGCCCTTCTTTAGTGTGATTCCTGTGGGACTTTTTGTTAGAGCTTTACTTACTAATCTTCTGCATTTTGGAAAGTTTCCAGACTCTTTCTGCCCCTTGCAAACTTGTAGGCTAATGTGCATATTGCTTTAATTTGTTCTTCAAATGAAACCCAATTATGCCTGTAGGTGCCTGGCTGTTAAGTCAGTAATTTACTTCATGGTAGCTTAGCATGTTTTTTAAACGCCTGTTTTGCTATGAGGCTTCTGTTCATTGAAGGAATGTGTAAACCTGTAAAATAGCACTGGAAAGAATTTCTTTGGAAAAAAGAGACCCAATGTGAACCATGTATATATATATATATATTATTTTTTTTCCCTGTTCACCTGTAGGGTCATAAAAGAGCTAACTAAAGAACTCAAGGTTCGGTGCTGCTTTAACAAGCTTTCTTAACTTGTCAACTCTAACATAGTTGGTCTGGGTACAGATTGAGAGTGAAAGAGAAGGGGCAGAGGCTGTGATGCAGGCTGTCTTTCTGTATTCTCAAAATGGTATCAGCATAGATTGTGAGGGGTGGGATGAGATGAGTTTCAAGTGTCAGAGCACTTCTAATCTCAAAACACCTCCAGCCCTGCTGGAGGACCTAGAATCTCTCTCCTGCGAGCAACCTTATCTTTTAAAGGCTTATTAGTGAAATTGCATTTTTCAGTGTCCTTTGCCCCTCCCTTGCCTTTGATTTGAACTGTCCTTGCTCTCATAAAGCAGATCTTCTGGTGGAGGTACTACGTACTTCCTCAGGGAATTTTCACAGCCTGTTTTGCCATGGCGATAGAGCCTTGCTGCACAGGTTGGACCTTCTCATAGTGGATGAACAGAGCAGCCTCACTTAAATCAGTGATGCGGTGCTGGTTTGTGACTTGGAGGAAAACCGAGATAGGGAGAAAGTGGGAGCAGTGGTCCGAAGAAAGGAGTTGAGATGAGAGGTGCCTGGGAAACCGTGTGTTTCATTCTGCTCCGTGCCAGTGGTGCTCTGAAACCCTTGGCAGAGCTGCAAGGAGTAAGTGCGCTTGGAAGGATCAGAGCAGCAGCTGCTGGCAGCTGCACCAGCAGTTGTGCTGAAGTGGAGGAAGCAGTCCTGCACAGCCTGTGAGGACTGCATGAGCAGTAGTAGGTTTATGCTGCAGCAGCCAAAACTTAGTTTAAACAAACGAAAAGCTGTCTAACCTCAAAGCTGCAGGCATTCATCAGCCTCCACAGAGGCAATGTGTCCTGGGGCCAACTAGGACTTTTTCTTGAGGATTTATCCCGGCAGGAGCCTTTGGTTCCCAAGTGGGTTAAATCTCCAGGCAGTCTCCTGCACAAAGCTTCACAGACCTGAAAGGATCTGCTTCTGAGGCTATTTGAAGCAGGACCGAGGGTCTTTATTCTGAATACCCAGCATGGATACAGCAGTACCAGTCTTTTTATAGCGGCTAAATTGCAGTCCTTTCTAACTCATGTGTTTTTACTTGGGTCTCTGGGGACTTGTGATCCCCCAGTGCAATAACTCTCCCTCTCATTCAGCTCTCATTTGCATGCGCATCTTTAAAACAGGAAAACAAAGTATTTCAAAGCTTTCTCTGTGTTAGGACTGTTTGGATGGTGTGGCTTAAACTGGTTTGCTGTATTCCATGTTATTCTGTTCATTAATAAATGGTGTTTACTTCACTGGCAGTATTCCCTTCTTTGCTGGCTACCCTCTTACACAGTAATCAATGACACTTAATAGGAGGTTCAAGAAATCTGATAGGAGCAGATTTGTCTCAGATGGGATGAAATGTGAAGAGAATCAAAGGACGTTGGTGCTTTGCTGGGAACAGGACAGGGCCACCTCTAGATAATGGGATGTTCTTTATGGCTTTCTAAGAAACAAGGCTACATTTTCAGCCCTGACATCTTAGTAGCCTCAGGCTTTTGGAAAGCTCCATTTCATTTAGATTCTGGCATTTACTTTTGTTTGCATGGACTGTAAAGATCTTTTTATTCTGATTCTCAAGAGCTGTTTACCATTCAGCACATGTGGTCTGCATTCTCACACTAAAATCTTTTGAGAACTTGGCGCAACCCTTTTTAGTTCTCTGATCAATGCTGGCTAAGGAACAATGGGAAAAGCCCATGAAAGTCTGTTGCTCAAAATGTGCTGCCCCTATTCTCATTAACTAGCAACCTCAGCTGAGGTAGGGGTTGCTGGCTTGGCTTTTTCAGTGGTGCTGGCACTGATCAGGAGTCGCTGTGCTGAACTGGAAGGAGGCGTGTGGATGTAAAACCAGAGGACAACTTCACCAGCTGCTTGTGTGTCTGCACTGAGAGCAGAGCTTTGCCGTCTGCCTCCGTTTACAGTTTAGCATTTGTGCATGCTGTTGGTGCTTTCATCTGATCAATTACATGGGCAGCTGCCCTCGAGTGATGCACGAGGCTGTCACCAAGGCCTGTATCCTGTAGGATCCAACCTGGCCATAAATTGGACTGAGTTTAGCTGAAATCTTCTCTGCATGAAGACCAGAGTCTGGACCTTGCAGTAGCTTTCCTCAGGGCTCTTGACACTCAGGGTATCCGAGATTTGGTTTCAATCTCTTTGCATAGTTGAGTGTAAGAACGTTAATCCAATGGGAGTAAAATACTGCCTTCCAACAGCAATTCTAGATTAGCAGCCTGGAAACTTGTTAGTCACAGAAGTAACGCCTCGTTGCTGAGCATTCCACTTCAAATGGCTAGGAGAGGTGTTTGTGAAAGCAGGGAGGTAATTGGCCACACTGGCTTTCGAAGAGAAAGAAGACAAGGGGAAAGGAGTGAAAGATTTGCAGTGACTGCTGAGAGTGCAATAGCAACAGAGTCCTAAGGGACCGTTTTGCTTGTGCCTTGGATCAGTGTGTGCTACAGAAGCAACTGTTGTCTGAGTGTGTAAGATGCGGTAGTCTTTGAGCTGACGCGCTGCAGTGGGAAGGTGCTGTACTGTAGGGCTGAATCCATGTATGCACCAAGGATGGGTGTCTTCTGTTTGTCTTTTAGCAATAAAATCCCTGTGGCAGCACCAGCACATCTACATGAGGCTTTGGAATCCAGATCTCTCTACTCTGAACTGCAGGATTTGAGGGTCAGATGTAGAGCTTGTCACCTTCTCTATTTAGGTCTTCAGTTTTTGAGATCTCCAAATTTGAGTGGAGAAGCAAGAATTAGATCTGTTAGTGGCAATAGGCAGTGGCCAATTTATGAAGTTATCCTTACATGAAGGCTCATATATCCCCTTCTGTGAGGACTGCTCATAACTGGGATTTTGTGTTCATTCAGCACTGCCCTGGGAGGACCAAGCTGCTGGAGGAATGGAGGGCTTGGAGTCCTCACTGTGCCCTGAGCTCTAAAATCAGAGAACATAAAACCATCCCCAGCCAGATGGTTTCCAGTTGCAAGAGCGCTGCACTGAAGCACAGTCATAAAGAAACTAGATGGCATTTAATTGCACTGATGCTTTTGTGTGGGTTAGAGGCCGTAGCTCAGTGAAGCACCTGCCTGAAATTAAGCACAAGACTACCTTTAATCCCTGCTTTTCTTTACCGAATTGGCATTAAAAAAGTCTGGTTCTCTTCCCATCGTTGATTGCACAAATCTAAATAACTGTCCACTGTGCTTGCTTGCTGTTCTTTGCTTGCGCCTCTCAGACTCTGTGCTTAAAGAGAAAAAAACAAAAACTGGAGGGTGTGAGACTTGAGGGGGATGGAGAGGGAAAAGCCTGTCACTTCCTCAGGAAACACCTATAACAACAGTGCTTGGAAAAAGTATTTCAGAAAGCCTCCCTGTTTTGTTTCTGGCTTTTTTCTTTGAAAGCCACTGCTCCAACTCCTCTGCTTTCTCATTTTATTTATTTATTTTTTGAGACGTGGTCCCATTTTTTTTTAATTTTTGAGTTAAATGAGCAGTAAGTAGTATTCAGATGTTGACACAAATTTATGTGTACACCTGCTGAGTGCCTCATAAAGAATGAAAATGCTTTCAGTTAAGAAGTGGCAAGTAAACTAAAATACTGCAATTACGTTCACTAACAAGAAATTCAAGCAGCTAAATTATGGATGTCTTTATGAAATCACACAGGACTTCTGAATGACCTTTTTCATTTGATGGTGCTTGATAAAAACAATAATGATTTCAGTTCTTACTCAATGATCTGATATCTTCAAGACTTATCAGTCAAAGTTTATACTTAAGGGAACTTTCAAATCAAAGGGAGAGGAATTGGGTGGCTGCACATCAGTGTGAGTTCTTATGTCCCCAGAGCTGACTGTGTGGGGTGTGTAACTGTTGGGCTACTGATGCCTCCTTGAATTCTTAATTTACAGAATTATCACTCAAAGCAGAACGGATGTGCAAAGCAGCTAAAGAGCAGAATGGAGAAGGCGAGTTTCTTAATGTAAGCATTGATTCCTTTCTGGTTGTAGACATCTTCTGAAAAGTTCTTCAGATGGCTTTCGAGAAATGGTGTTTCAGAGAAAAGAAGTTAATCGTGATGGTCTGGGCAGCTGCTCCTGGAATTTGACTGTGTCTTTGAAAGTGTAATGCCAAGCAAAGATGAGCTTTGGAATGCTAAAAACAGAACAGTTAGTGTGGAGCCAGAGCAGCAGTGAGATGGGGAAGAAGGGAGGCAGTAGGAACACAGTCTTGTTGACTGGCTGCTACTGGAGGCTCTTGCTACTGAGCTGGGAAAACGCAAAGGCATCTGAATTCTCCTTGGGTATGTTGCAGGACATGGTAAAACAGCCTAATGGAGACTGTCATCCACAGTTCCC